AAAAAAAAAAATTGGATTTTTTTGGGATTTTTTGGGATTTTTTTTGGATTTTTTTTGGATTTTTTTTTTATTTTTTGGGGTTAAAATTGTGGTTTTTGGGGATTTTAGAGGGGAGTGAAGGAGATTCTTTGAGGGGGGGAGTGGGGAAAAAATATTGGATTTTTTTGGGGTGAAAAACGGAGATTTTGGGAAAAAGTTTTTTAAAAAAATGTATTTTTTGGGAAAAAATTGGGATTTTTGGGGATATTTTTGGGTTAAAATTGGGGGATTTTGGGGGAAAGAATGGAGATTTTTATGAGGGGAGATTGGAGAAAAATAACTGAGATTTTTTGGGGTGAAAAACGGCGATTTTGGGAAAAAAATTTAAAAAAAATCGGATTTTTTGGGTTAAAATTGGGGAATTTTGAGGCGAATTTTGGGGGGATTTTTGGGCTCAGGTGATTTGGGGCTGTTTTTGGGGGCGCTCAGGTGAGTTTTTGGGGTGCCCAGGTGAGTTGGGGGCGGGGCCTGCCCTCACCAGGAAGACGCCGTGGGCGTACAGGTGAGTGCCCAGCTGGATCCCGTTCACGATTTTCTCCCGAGCCCATTTGGGGATCCCAAAATTGGCCACGAGAGCCGAAACCGGGACGGCCAAAAACCTGCGGGGGGGGACAGGTGAGAGCCCCAGGTGGGACCCCAAAAAATCCCCCAGGTGAGAGCCCCAGGTGTGACCCAAAATCCCCCAGGTGAGAGCCCCAGGTGGGACCCCAAAAAATCCCCCAGGTGAGAGCCCCAGGTGGGACCCAAAATCCCCCAGGTGAGAGCCCCAGGTGGGACCCAAAATTCCCCCAGGTGAGACCCTCAGGTGTGACCCCAAAAAAACCCCCAAATCCCCAGGTGAGACCCCAAATTCTGCCCAGATGTGCCCAGGTGTATCTCAGGTGTGTTTCTATCCCTCTCAGGTGTGTCCAGGTGTATCTCAGGTTATCTCAGGTGTGTTTCTATCCCTCTCAGGTGTGCCCAGGTGTGTTTCTATCTCTCCCAGGTGTGCCCAGGTGTGCCCAGGTGTGCTTATATCCCTCTCAGGTGTAGCCAGGTGTGCCCAGGTGTATCTGAGGTGTACCCAGGTGTATCTCAGGTGTGTCCAGGTGTGCCCAGGTGTATCTGAGCTGTACCCAGGTGCCCCCAGCTGTACTCAGGTGTATCTCAGGTGTACCCAGGTGTGGCCAGGTGTATCTCAGGTGTGCCCAGGTGTATCTCAGGTGTACCCAGGTGCCCCCAGGTGTATCTCAGGTGTGCCCAGGTGTGCCCAGGTGTACCCAGGTGTATCTGAGCTGTACCCAGGTGTGTCCAGGTGTATCTCAGGTGTGGCCAGGTGTGGCCAGGTGTATCTCAGGTGTGCCCAGGTGTATCTCAGGTGTACCCAGGTGTGCCCAGGTGTACCCAGGTGTATCTGAGCTGTGCCCAGGTGTATCTCAGGTGTACCCAGGTGCCCCCAGGTGTGCCCAGGTGTGCTCAGGTGTGCCCAGGTGTGCCCAGGTGTGCCCAGGTGTGCTCACCAGAAGGTGTAGGCTCCCAGGAAGGGCAGGTAGAAGGGGCGCCGCTCGGGCACGGCGCTC